CAGCCGCTCCCCGGGGCAGATCACCCCTCCCGGGGCTCCGCGGGCTCTGCCCTGCCCCGCGGGGCTCCCTCCGCGCTTTGTTCCATTCTTCGCTTGGCTTGCGCGGGCTGCACGGGAAGGGATTTAGTCGCTCTAATTTCGGGAGGGGCTTGGGAGCTTTTAGGTCGGCGAGTTTCTGAAACCGCCGGGTTCGAGCGTGTTTGCTGGTTCTTTAAAACACGGTCAACTTCCCGCTGACTGTTAGCTCAGCAGTTATTAAGCGGAGGTTTTTGGACCCAGATTTGTGTATTTCTCTGGCGAGAACAGCTACTTCAATAGCCTTTCCTCTGTGCCCTCCCTCTCCCCCTCCGGTTTGAATTGGAGGGGATGGCTGACACCCTCCTGCCTCTCACTCCCTCCCCCCAGCAGATAGTTTAGCTGAGTGACCTGGTTTTCCACACTGGGCTGTGCTGGGAGGATGTGGGGCTGGGGCTGAGCTCGCTGGGCTGGGCAGGGTCCAGTCTGCCTGGATGCTCTGCAAAGCTCTGGCCGAGGAGGACACGGGATCGTGACCATCCTGTGAGTTAGTGACAACTGTGGGGTGATCATTTGTCTCCCATAAGCTGTGAAATGGGAGTTTGTTCCGAGGAGACAAGCTGAGCCCTCACAGAGGTGAACCCAGCCCACCACCCTGCTGGGGCCCGAGGCATTGCTGCTCTGCTCCCGGCTCAGGCTCCCCGAGGAATGAGCTTCCAGCTCTCAGCTGCTTCTCGTCCCCAAGGGGGTGCAATGTGTTTGTCAAAAACTGGGTTTTCAGGCAGCTGACATCTCTAAATCATGGGCTGAGCAGGTTAGAGGTAATAACACGGTTTTCACATGGCTCTGGGAATGTTTTTGAGCACAAAGGCACGTGGACTCGGTTCTGTGCTGGGACAACATCCTGGAGAATCATAGAAACATGGAATGGTTTGGGTTGGAAGGGACCTTAAAGACCATCTCGTTCCAACCTCCTGCCGTGGGCAGGGATAGGGACAGGGACACCTCCCACTAGCCCAGGGTGCTCCGAGTGGAGCAGAGTCCAGAAGCCAGAGGTGAATTCCTTGGATGTAATCCACATGCCACGGGTTTTGCCCCAGTTCCTTGGCTCTGGCTGTGAATGTCCCTGCCTGGAGCCAGCGAGGCTCGACTTGGCAGCCTGGGACTTGTGGCGACATGGGCCTCTTGCTCATTATTTCCCCAGCGTGGACTTTCCCAAAGGACCCGGGCAGAGCAGCCTGCGGTTCTGTCCCCTCCCCTTCCCCAGCGCTTCGGGGCAGACAATGAACCTTTTACACATTCCCAATTACAAGTGCTACTTGTGACCTTGCCAGTGTGTTGTCATGGCTGCTTGGCGCAGAGGCAGCTCATTCACAGCCCTCGGGGAACGGTCGGGGCCGTCCCGGCTCTGCTGGGCGCAGGGCAGTCGTGCCCAGCCCAGGCACTGCTGTCGGAGGTGCCAGTCGGGCACCCTGTGCTCTGCTCTGCGGCTCTGCTCCCTCTCCGTGCCCCGCGGGCCGTTCCCTGCCGCGGGCCCAGGGAAGCTCGGGCAGGCTGCGAAGCTCCGCTCAGCCCTGGCACTGCCCCTTTTTTGGGCCGGAGAGTCCTTGTGACCCCTGTGCCCGAACTGTCGGGGCTGACAGCTGCAGGGGACCGCGCCGGGCCGGGGAACACTCAGCCCGTCTCTGCGGAGCTGTCAGGTTTCCCAGCTGTATATCTCACCTCTTTGTCAGCCTGTTTTCTCCTCGCTCTCCCCCAGCCCACCCTGTGCTATCTTTTGATAAGCTATTCTCTCCACGGATGACTCAGATGACCTCTGCCTCCCATCCTCCCGATTCACTGCCATGGTAACAATTACTCAAGCTTGTCCCCAGTCATAAACCCCATCCGAGCTTTGTTATCTACACAGAAACCCTCCCGGGAGACATGAATTCCCCCAGTGTTCCTTCCAGATCACCTGTAACAGAGCTTTTCTCATTCAGATCCTCTTTATCTTTTGGAAATGTGTCACTTCACACCAGCAGCCCTTTGAATCTCCCTGCCTACACGGGCTGTGGGTTGCTGCTGCTGGGGGAAGCTTGCCAAGCAAACCGGGATTATGTCAGCACACTGGGATGGATGGAGGTTTGGGCCTTCTCTTGCCTTGTGGAGTCCAGCACTCTTCAAAGTTCTGCATGGAGAGACATTCCTGGAGCGTTGGGAGGGGTCAGGGCTGGAGCACAGGAGAGGCAGTGGCAGAGCTGTGCCCAGGGCTGGCACTGGGGCCTGGATCTGAATGTGAGCGAGACAGGCAGAGATAAGATTCCATGGGAATAACCCTGCTGCCTGGCAATGCATTTCCTCGAGGACTAGAAGATCAGTCCTTCTGATCTTTGGACATAGGAGGGAGAACTGACATTACAACTTGCTTTTGGGAGCAGCAGTGGGTGCCTGGCTTGGGCACACACTAAGAGCAGTGAGTATGTGCTGGCCAGAGGAGGATTTCAGCAGCTCTTTCTCTCTTTTTTGGCCTGGCAGGTCATGAGGAATGAAGAGCTGACCCAAGAGCTGCTCAACCTGGCCAAAGCCAGGAGCACTGTTCCCAGCACAGAGAGCATCCAACCCCCTGCCATGGCCCACCCATCCTCTGCTGAGCTGGAGAGAGGGAGAGCACCAGTGCATCCCCACTCTGCTCCAAGGGGGAAGGTAAATCCCTCTCTGCCCTGTCACCAACTCCTTGGATAACAGGGATCTAACAGGCCCTTCTTCTGTCTCCCAAAACCAGCCCAAAGACACAGTTGCCTCTGAACATGAGCAGCAGAAGCTGGAGAGAAACGTGAGTGTGTGTGGCTCTGCTGCTGGAGCCTTGGGAAGCAGAGGGGGGATTGATTCCAACTGTGGCTGGCACCTCCTGGTGCTAACTTGAGTTTTGTGGCTCAGCTGATGCCTTGATGCATTTTCATTTATGTTTTTTAAGCTGTGTAACTGCAAAATAAGCCTAGAATAGCTCCAGTGGTTGTGCAGGCAGCGCTGAGGAAGGGCAGATGTGGCTCCCTTGGTCCATGCCCCTCAGGGTGAGCACAGAGAGGAGTTTAAAAGCCAACAAGTGCAGAGGACACTTGTTTTCTTCTTGCTCATACTTGAGAAAGCTGGGGGTGATGAGACTGAGAGCAGGAGATGCTCCCTTCCTCCTCCCCATCTGCAGCCCCTGCGAAACCAGCTTGGGCTCCACCACCAGCTCCTGCTGGGAATCTGACTCTCAACGTGAGATTTCCCCTGGGAGAGCCACACGTGTGCGTCTCCACGTGCCCTGTCTGCAGATCAGGCACTGTTCCTGGTGTGCCACAGGCCACCAGGCCCTCCCAGTTCAACCAGTCCTTTCCCCAGCTGCTCAGCTGGAGGATCTCCTGCCTCATCTTCCTCTTCCGTTGTCCCTCAGTTGCTTGGAAACCAGGATCACATAAAAGTGGAGCTTGAAACCCTGAAGAAAACCCAGGACTGGCAGCAGCAGAAGCTGGAGGAGAGAATGTGAGTGTTTGGGGCAAGTCCTTCTGCTTGGCAGAGCATTTCTGGGGCTCCGTGCAGCTGGATTTGGTCGATGGGAGCAGGAGAAGAGGCAATCTGCCTTTGGTGGGGTACAGGGTGGGGAAAGAGGATTCCCCCTTGGAAGGAGTGAGGCCTGGAAGGAAAACCTGATGTTTTCAAGGCTCTTCAGAGGAGCAGTTGTCTGCTTAAAATTGGTGGTGCTTAGGGACCCAAATGACACCTTGAAAATTCACCTTGTCTGGCAGAAAGCAAATGTGTGACAGCCCAGAGATGCCTTGGACCCACAGAGGTTCTTCCATTGCCATGGGATGGGGTTGGAGTCCTGGGAAAGACTGTCCCAGCAAGGATCCTGCAGGACTAGACCCTCTGAACTGCAGGAAGTGTTCACCTTTGGTGGGGAGAGCTCTGTGGTGCTGGGTGATACACATCTAGGGACTGGAAGCTGCTGCTGTGAGATTTCTGTCATCCCAAACTGATTTCCCTCTCAAAGCTGACTGAGTTGGACCTATGGAGAGTCACAGAATTCCAGAAAGGTTTGGGTTGGAAAGGACCTTAAAGCTCTCCTAGTTCCAACCCCTGCCATAGGCAGAGACACCTTCCACCAGCCCAGGTTGCTCCAAGCCCCATCCAACCTGGCCTGGAACACTCCCAGGGTTGGAGCAGAAGTCTGGAGGTTTAAAATAAACACACCTTCTCCTGTGTGTCCAGGACAGCGCTGGGGAAGGAGCTGCAGGAGGCGAAGGGAGCGATCGGGGACACCCAGCACAAGCTGGTGGAGCAGTCAGCGGTGAGGCTTCCTCCAGCTGCTCATCCTCCCCTCCAGTGTCATGTGCTCCTCCTCAGCCAGCAGGTCCTCTGACACCTCTGCCTCTCCAGGGAGCTTGTCACCCCAAGGTGCTCCTCCCTGCACAGTTCTCTTCTGTACATGGAGGAAGGTGCTGCTGGCACAGGTGGTGGGAGGAATTTTGTTCACTGATTTTTAGAAAGAGTTGGTGGCATCACCAAGGTGGGGGGTGGCAAATGACAGAAGGCAGCAGGGGAATAGAGACTCTGAACATTTCCTGTGGGGGCTCTGAAAACCTGGGACCTTCCCAGCTCTAGTGGAGCTGCATAGCTGGAAATGAAGTCCTCAGTCTGTTCTGGAGCTCCTCAGTTTGCCCTCCGTGGCTGGAGGACAAGGACAGCAGGTTTTCTGTTTGCCCAGGTGCTGCTCACCTCGCAGAGCCAGCTCCAGGAGGTGGAGGCAGAGAACTCCAGGCTGCAGCTCCAGCTGAAGGAGCTGAACGAGGAGTATCGCCTCCGGCTGGCACAGTACACCAAGGACGTGGCGGTGGGTGCCCACAGCCCATGGGGCTCTCCTGGCCTGGGGAGGGGTCACAGAATCTCCTGAGCTGGAAGGGACCCCCAAGGATCACCAGTCCAACTCCTGTCCCTA